TAAAAAAAAAAAAAAAAAAAAAAAAGAAGATTGAGAGCAGTCACTCAAACCAGCTGGAAAGGTAGGTCTGCCCACACAACACAGGGCCATGGGCCATCTCACCTCCTGTTTTGGATGTTATCCTAAATGAAATAGAAACATGAAGGGCTCTAACAATGAGTGAGGCGTGATAAACAAATGCTCTGGCCATTGGGTGGGGACTGGGCTGAGAGGAGCAAAGCAGGGCCACTGCTTATTGCTCTTCTGTCCAAATGTGTGCGATGGTGGTGGCTGCAGGGAAAACAGCAAAAATGGCTAGTTCCAAGAGACACTCAGAAGACAAACCAGTGCACCTGGGACTCACAGGAGGGTAGGGACCCACCATGACGTCAAATTTTTGAGCTGAGCATTCAGACCATGTCCTGTGACAGAGACAGGGACAGAGATGGGGCAGGAGGTCTCCTGTAGGGTGGGACAGAGAAAAAGAGCCCAGTTGCACAGCAGGGCATAAAAACCAGGCAGGACGGTAGACGGCCACAAGACAAAGGGACCCACAGCCCAGAATAAAGATCTGGGTCCAACAAGGAAAATGTTGTCACTTCTGGAATATAAACAGTGACTGAAGTTAAGAGAGTAGGGAAAGGCGAGTGTGTACACCAGAGGGGCACTGACCTGAGTACACAGTCTCTGTCTGCCAGTAATTAAAGGCAGCAATCCAGGCCTCAAAGTGATGGGCCTGCCATGAGGCCACTTTCTGCAGCCTGGGCTCCATCTCACTCACTGTCAGCAGATGAAGCTGCCCACGGGAGTCGCTACTGATGATTTTCCAGGGCTGGTCGCTGGCCCTAGACATAGGAACCATGGGGGAGTCAGCTGCACTTTACTCCTCAGCCTTTTCTAGTTTCAAAACCTGTCCCAGGAGAGGTTCTCCATAGATGTGACAGGTGAACACATCTGTTAAGAGACTTGCATGAGCATCTGACAAAGACCAAAACTGTCCCTTAGCTTGTCAAAAACATCATCAGCTTCTCTGGATAAAATACTATTACCATTTAATGAAAATGCTGGACATTTTCTTTCTTTATTTGTTTTCTAAGATTAGGACTAGGACACTCTCAGGTCTAAGCAGTGCAATCAAGGCTAACAAGCTGGATACAGTGGCTCACACCTGTGATCCCAGCAACTCAGGAGGCCAAGGCAGGAGGACTGCTTGAGCCTTAGAGTTCAAGACCAGCCTGGGCAACACAACAAGACCCTCATCTCTAGAAAAGAAAGAAAGAGTTCTTGACCAGCCTGAGCCAGAGCAAGACCCAGCCTCTAAAAATAGCCAGGCATGGCTCGGCACCTGTGGCTCAAGCGGCTAAGGTGCCAGCCACATACACCTAAGGTGGCAGGTTCGAATCCCCAGCCCGGGCCCTCCAAACAACAATGATGGCTGCAACCAAAAAATGGCC